ATGTTATGGCGCCGTTTGATTCATAAACAATATTTATATTTAATATTTATATTTAAACAATATGAATGCAAGCCAGAGGAGAACTGGCCCCCGACTGAGCCTGGGTTCTCCCAAGGTTTTTTCTCCATCCAATCTGATGGAGTTTGGTTCCTTGCCACTGTCGCCTTGCTTTTGGCTTGCTTTGAGCTTGCTCAGTTGGGGTTATTTATTTAGTGTTTAGCAATGTTGTTGATCTGTGTTGTATACTTACATGTTATCACTGTGAAGCTGCTTTGATACAATCTGTATTGTGAAAAGCGCTATATAAATAAATGTGACTTGACTTGACTTGACTTTTAAAGATGTAGATTTCTTCCAATGCCTTTTAAAAATAAAGTTTTTTTTTAATTGGTATTGATATCGGAACCTTTCAAAAGAAAAAAATATCTAGTAGAAAATGGTCCTTTAGATTATTAAAATGTTCTTTAATTGCTTCTTTTAATAACTGTTCACTTTGTGAAACTCAAGGTGGTTCTTCTAAAGCATTGCTGTGAAAACCCCCCTTTTGGAATCTTTATTTTTTAATAAAAGTGTAGGAAGATTATCTTACAGAGTATGTTATTTCAAGTCATCATAAAAACTAGATGTTCTATGACTAGTTAAGCTATTTGACTCCTTGAACGTGGCCCACATTCACATAGATTACGTCTAAGAGGATTCTTGTGTTAAGTTGTCTGCTGATCTGCTCTTTGTTGCAGCGTTTTGCTCACTCATGCGCCCATTGAGCCTGTTCTTCTTGGCTTTTCTTTTATGACCTCATCAAGTCAACGGCTGCAGCATTGAACATGTTTACTTGACCTGCAAATTGGGGTCAACGCAAAGTAAAGTCCCGTGCAAAGAACAAGGAGAAATAGTAGCCAATGAGACAAAGATATTGAACTCCTATGTTTTTTAGACGAAGCATATGCAAATAGCATTGACGAAAACAAACTGTAAAATACATCAAATGTTAACCCTTTTTAGATGGCACTACGAGGTGGCAGGGAGTAGGAGACAGGTGTAAATAAACGCTGGGGCTCTGTCCTTGCTCTTGTTAGTTGCCATGGCAACAGCTGATAGAGCATCCTATCGATCGCACTGTCCAGTCTGAATTGTGCAGCCCCTGATCCCACATTTTTTCCCTCTGTGTGGTGATTGGTGTGGATCAATACCTGATATTGTATGCCTCTTTTGCCTTGCGTCTCTCATGGCCTCCATAATAGTGGTAATGATAGTGAGAGGGAAGGAAAATTAAAGGAAGAAGCAAGATTGCTTCTATAGAAATAGAAGGCTCTATTTCGTTACAAGTGCAAAGGGGGAAAAAAAGCATAGAGGTTCGAAGGCACGCTTTAAAAAAACAACAGAGAGCCATCATGACACTTTGCCTGTATTATTCACAATCATTGTACGGCACTCCAGAACTGCCGTAAGCTGCACTGTGTGCGGCCCACACAGAATCCGCAGAAATGTCACATCTGATTTTTCCGCACATCTCCCTCTCTCTGCATATGCGAACAGCCGCACGGCATTTACCTAATGTAAGGCCGTTTAGTCCAGCCATTGCTTTGACTGTTATACAAATCAGACTGGCCTGGAAGTCCATACTGCTCCGGTTCAGTAAGAGCTCGAGTAGGGGAGCGAGGCACGGAGGAGGACCTGCGGGAGCTCGTTTAAATCTGGCCTGAGGGATCCCTGCAGCTAGAGGTCACGGTTGGAGCCACCGGCACTGGATTTAAAGGTGGGGCTCCTTAAGGTGCCTCTGTTGCCCTGAGGCACAGCCATCACAATTCCTGCAGTGCTGGAAATGAAAGGCGGTCTAGGACAAAGGCCCTTTCCTTGCTTATGGCCACTGCTCAGAAAAATTACTCAAAATGATTGAGATGTCGGTTACATCTTTCTTCTTCCATCTGTCCTTCCCAGTAACACCCTAGTGTGAGTTTAAGAATAATTATTAGCGGTATGACATTTTGAGTCAAAAAATATATTATAGTACTAACCCTGGTTCCTGAACATTTAAACATCTATTAATTTTGTATGCAAAATTCAATACATTCAATTCGTCAGTAGTTCTATGTGTGTTAAAGCAAATATTTTCTGTGTTTCCAAAAGCCACTGTTTACTGATACTGCAAAAAGATTAGTTTTTTTTTTTTTTTTTTTACACATACACTTCCGTCATCCAGGCTGAGGAGTCCTCGATCTCTAGAGATCTGACTGAAGTCGCTCGAGCTGTTTCTGTGTTTCCATCAGATTTGGCTGTTCGCCTGCAGTACTGAGAAACTGTGCAGCAGTACAAATGTAAATCTGTGTTCCGCGGGGAAGGAGTGTGAGGGGGAGCGGAGTGGCTGCCCTCGCATCCCTGCGAGATGAAAACCCATCCACTCGGAGAGGCACAGCGGCTACCGGGGCAGAAGTCAGGCGCGTTGGGGCCGGGCATGTGGGAGAGAGGAGTGATGGAGGGAAAGTTTTCTCTGCCTCCAGCGCTCTGCATATGTTGTGAGAGTAAGAGCCTGCAGTGAACTTGGCAGCACACTTCAAAACTTTATGGAGCAGACGTGCACGCTGCATCCTAATACGAGCTGTGTCTTGATGCGTGATTCGGGATTCTTGAGATTTGTCAGACGCGGTGCCTTCTTGAATTCTTGGCTCCACGATATGAGATTTTGCTCGCCTACATCTTGTGTAAAGAGTGGCTTCTCATTGGGTTTGCTTTGTTCTGCACACAGATGCATTGCTGCTGAATTAATCATAGTTGATGTTTATCACATTTGGGTACACAGTGTAAATTTAGGTACCAAAGTTTTACCTCAGGCCAAATTACATAACCACTTAGTGGGTCATGTTTAATTTGAAACGAGATACGAATTTTCCATATCATTTACTCCCCTTCATGTCGGTCCAAACCGGTATGACTTTCTTTCTTCTGGAATAAAAAAAGTCACACAGGTTTGGAACAACATGAGAATTTTCATTTTTGTAATAATTTATTAGTATTATTTTTATCAAATCATTGATTAAAAAAATCAAGTGATTTGTTACTGACCCCAAATCAGTTTTGTACTTTCAAATACTGCTTCTAGTCTAATGTAAGACAGATAGCACTGGTCCTGGATCTATGGGTGGGCAGCTCCTGTATTCAATTCGAAGTCCACGTTAGCTAGCCACTCCGTCCTGTCCAGGAGCTCCATTCACTTCACAGTCAATAGTTATTTATCATCCAACATATTAGGGATTGCAGTGTCGATATGAAGTCCAGCACTGAAATTAGTCAGTGCCAAGTCTGTAACTACAGCCCAAGGTCAGACACGCACTCTATTGACAGGAGTGATGGTCCGCAGCTCACAGGCACATACATCCAGCCCAAGGTCAAGTGTACGGCACTGCTATTTCAGAAGGGACACGCGAGTAAAACACTCTGTCATGTTGAGGGATGCCAAGCATGAATTCAGCTTGGTCTAGATGCATTTTATCTCATGTTTTGGATTCGAATCAATATGGTAAAACTGGAAGCCACTCTAAAAGATTATAACTATTGCTATGTTTGGTCAGCGATAAAGTTACAATTTGCATCCATGCGATTTCTCTCAACATATCAGATGATATGCATGATTGCACTGCAAAAATTGCCTTGATATTTAAATTATACTCTTTCAGATCCGAACAATGGAAAAGCGAAAACAAACACACGACTAAGACTATCAAGATATCAGACTACTTGCTGTATATATTAATTTGAATCAAACTGAACTATCTTCTGTATTTTTATTAAGATGTGAACTTGTTTAAACAGTTTTGTTGGCAATTGGCATCCTTTAAAAAAAAATACAATTGCACGTAAAGTTTAGCCAAGCTGCTAAGCTGAAGAATTGCTAATCAGCAGCAAAACATTTTCTACCCTTCTGGCAAGGTCAGGGGATCACAGTCCCCTGCTAAATGTCCAAAGCCCCCCCCCCTACCAGAAGCCCTGAGGGGAGATATCACCCCCCGCACATAGATACACAGCCTGACAGCAGCTAACTTGGTTCGATTGCTTGGTCCAAACTCCAGAATGACTTCCCCTACCCTCCCCCTTCCCTACAGGTCTCTTTTTACATTGTACATTTTAGGTCCAAACTGTGCTGTTTGCATCACCACTGTTAGAGCAAACATGAAGAGGAGATGCTAAACAGACCAAATTCTGATGTCAAAAACCGAAAGCTCTAGTGGGAAAGCAAAAGGGAGAAGAGGCTTCGGCTGTCTCTGTTCAGAGACAAATCAAGTCACTAACACAGTGTTTCACAGTCAAGCCTGAAACTGCTGATCTGGAATTGGAGTTTGAGACACTTTTGTCTTTAGGCAACTTCTTAGTCCACTTAGGCAATGAGCCAACAAAAATTCTGGAACTAGATATAAAGTGAACACTGTTATCTGGTGTTTATTGTTTTCAAAAAAATATTAATGTTTTTTCCCCATGAAAATTCTATTTTTTTTAATGTTTCAAAACATTCAAAAGTAATATTCCTATAATGTTTGTAAACTATGTTTCCTTAATGTTCACACAACCAAGAAAAAATATTTTGAAAAAAACATTAAAAAACCTGGACGATATGAACATTCAGAGAATATTAATGTGAACGTTAGCAAAACATTCTTAGAACATATTTTTGTTAGCAGTGTCCTCTGTATGATGCTAATAATTTTTGTTTCATTTCATTTTAGTTTATATTTTTTGTATTTAATTTACAAATTGTCACAAGAGAGCAAAAAATATTTCTAAATATCAGTGTCTACATGTATAGATTATTTTAGTATGTCACTTTGGTTCTGCAAGTCAAAGTAACCGTGTAGTAAATATCACACACTGAAAAGGAAAATTTGTTGCTGGCCTGTACAGATCAGCATCAGGAAACAAAGCCAAATCTAGCTCACATGTCTACCTGTAGACATATATCCTAAAGTGTATTATTTATCAAATTATATCACTCGAATATCCACAAAACCGTGTGCTTCACCACAAAAAAACATGTTTTTATTGGAATCACTGTTTTGATGCAATGTGCATGCTGCCATCTAGTGGACTAACTATGCCATCCACTGATTAAAATCAAGTCCTGGCACTGAAAGCAAATTATGACTAATCAAATGCATTTTAACATTTATAACAAAATGCACAATTTAGAACTGCCCTTGAACCATAAACGTTTTACAAATCATTTCTGCTACTGAATGAATGAAATAAAAATACATTAAACAGCATGGGTAAGTATGTTGCTGTGTGATTCTACTGGAAATATTGTGTCCTAGTCAAAGTGTTATTTGGATACACTGAGTTTGCGCCTCTTTGGGGCACATGGCTGGGGATCTTGGCTTAGCGGGAACTGCAACTGAGAGATCTGCAGAGATACAGGAAGTGCATTTAGTCAAAACTTGAACACTTGAATAACCCATTTTAAAGTGATAAACTCGTCTGTTTACTTAAAGGTCCCCTGACATGAAATTTTCACTTTCTGAGGTTTTTTTTTAACATTAATATTAGTTCCCCTAGCCTTTATTTGGTCCCCTCGTGTCTATAATTTTCGATCGGTGTAAACCGAGCTTTGGCTATCTTTCTCTTCTCTGCAGCTCAGACGAGCTGATCTTGAATCTCCTCCTTATGACGTCATAAGGAGGAAAGGTAACCTTCCCTTTCTCTACTTTGCCCACACTGAGAATTTGGCCCACCCATGAGAAAATGAGCTAGGAACAGGAAGTACGAACCCGCAGGCGTGATTTGAGTTTTTCCTCGAGAGATATCATGGCTTGCAAACGAGCAAAGCATGGCAGTTGATCAGTGTTCGGATGTACAAATGAACACAAATGACACAAACAATTTTTTAGCTCCTTCATTCAAGCCTCTGAAGAAACAATGGGTTAATTTTATTTTCTCTGGAAATGCGCCAACACAACTTCTCAAAGTTTTGTATGGTCCAAACATTTCACCTACGACTATTTCCTCAACGTGGGCCAATACAGAACTGGCCTCGATGAACGTCTGAAAATAAATCGATCGAGCTAGCCAGCAACAATTTCTGATGTGTAAGTTAGCCCAATTGTTCAAATTCAGACAGGTAATCTCTCTCTCAAAATCATTCAATACTGTTTATGCATCAGTCAAGCCAGTGACTAAAATATCAACTTCATATCATTTCTTTTAGTAGGATGAAAATAATCTTATTTAAATTGTGATCAAATAAATTATACAGAAAGCGATCAAAGAACAATCTTTCCATACAGCGCAAGTTTATCTGGACAACTTGTTCTGAAATCAATGACGCACATTACAATGCACAACGAAGCTCTTACTGTATGTACATCATCGTGTCTGCATTGGTGAAAGCATTAGAGAGTGCAGAAACTGTGTTACAATGATAAGATCTTCATTCTCGCGATCAACAGACTGTCCTCTGCTTGCTCAATGCTCATCACAGCAACATTTTATGTGAAGGGAATAGATCTAAATACTTCAAAAACTTTGCACGATTCGGTAATCTCAATAGCTGTAACAGTAAAAATGTATAATAACTGTAGTAAAAGTATTCGAGAGAGTTTCAAATGTAATATGTAGCTATTTCATATGCATGCATGTCAGCCAATCACAGCAGTAGCCGGTTGCACTGAATCCCACAGCAAACAGAGCTTTCAAATCAGAGGCTAAAATCAGGTTAGGAAAAATGCCTTTTATTACTAAATTATGACTATTTTTTATCTAAAAATCATACTAACACTATAAGGGCAACCCAGGAAACATTATAAAATAATAAAATAACCCCATGTCAGGGGACCTTTAACAATTTCTGCGATTCTGATTGCATGATAGAGAGAAGGAGAAATGTTGCATGAAGCTAAATTTGCATTTAAATTCAACGACTAATAAAAAATACTCACAAAGTTCCAGTTATTATGCTGGTAAATGTGATAAAAGTCCAAAACATGACAACACAAACACAGGCCATGGACATTGTATTTCCCACCTGAGGCTCAAAGATGCGTCCACTTCTGGTCTTCCTGGCGTCCACCTTAAGATCATCAGTTTTCTTTACACGATTGTCCATCTAAAATAAACATCACATAATTAAAAACAACTTCCTCTCATACACAGACCACTAGAGCAGACTGTGATGGGGAATTGTGCAGCGCTACCTTTGCAATTGCTGTAAGATCCTCCTTGCTGTTTCTGTGAGGCTGTTGTGAGTTCTCCTGAGTGTCTGTAAATGTGACAGACCATGAGTAATGGTTGCTGGCCAGGCAGTTAGTGTTGATTACCTTGATTAGGTTCATTCCAATGTCTTTAAACTGGCAAACACAGAGTGTAACAATCACCTGAGATTTCAATGCCAGCATCAGTAATGACATTCTCCTTTGTCATAAACTCCTGTGAGCAAATAAGTCCATCATTTAAGACAAATACTCACATTTTGTAAAGTTAAGGCAGAAAAGGAACTGAGGAAATATCTGATAATTATTAAAAGGACCCCACCTGCTGAACTGAAGTTTCAGACATTGTCCCATCCTCAAACATTTTCAAAGACCATTTCGTACTCACACATACTTCCATATCATCTTCATCAGGCTGTTCACACACATAAATACATGTATAGTATTGATCACATCTTTACAGGACTGATGTTATAATATTTCTGCCAAACATATCAGTAGGCACCTACAGTAGCTTCTTTATCTCACCTCATCAACTCTCTTCCGCTCAGTGGTGACGTTCATTCTGAGGCTATGAAAAGGTGTCACCACCTCTCCTATCTTCAGATTTACTGGTTCCCTCTCAAATATCAGTGTCCCGTTGTCATCCTCCTTAAAGCCAGGTGGCTGATAATTCTGGGGAGTCACTGAAACACAAATACACGCTGAATAATAATAAAAAACAATACTAGAGGTGCCTAAAAGATTTCCTAAGAAAAGTCAAAAAACTCCACTGTGGGTTACAAGTAAATGTTTTGCATTATATTCAAATATATTATATTAAAATGTAAATTAAAAAACAAACAAACAAATGAACTTATCTACATTTTCTCTACATTTCAATGTAAAAATGAAATAAAAAATTTAGAGATGCACCGGTCGACCGGCTATAAGTTTTATTTTGGCCGATCTCTATTCTGGATGAGGAGCACACAGATGCACACAGCAAGCTCAATGTTTGTGATGCTCGAAAATAAAAAGATAAAATAGAAATATTAAATAGGGGTGGGGGATTATATGACTGAATCTCTGAAGGGAACTGTCTTCAGTGTTCAGAAGCACCACGTTGCTTTGTGTTCAGATGTACCTAAAGAAACGGGTGCTGCTTCCGTAAGCGCCTCCTACTGTCAGAGAGACAATTTGCATTTTCATTCAGTCAGCCTGCTGTTTTTGTTTTGTGCAGGTGTGTCCTATGTAGCATAATTTCATGAATCTGAAGTCAGACCATTCTATTTTTGCTTTGATTCTTGAAATGATCTACTTCAAGTATCTAATAATCTAAAAATCTAATTCAAATAAAACACTATTGCTCATGCTACATGTGTGTAGCATCTTTGTTTGGATTATGATTAAAATGCACCAGTAGTTGACTTTAATTTCAAATGGAGTCCAGTTTGCCTGTTACAGAGCAAATAAACAACACATTATTTTGCTTAAACAAAGAGAGAAAAAAAAGAAGAGAAAAATATTGGGCATTGGGCAATTTGCTTGTAAAAAAAATATATAAATTGGAATTGGTCATGAAAAATCATGATCTATACATATCTAAATCACTACAAAAATAATTTTAAATTTGAAATAATGAAACAAAAAGATAAATTAGAAATTAAGAAATGCTTCAGGGATATGATATGGCCAAATCAAAAGTCATCACTGGCCAACATTGGCCAATGGGAAATAAAATACAAACAATGCCCTTCATGTGCATGGTACAGTCTGTAGCAGACAGTAAGCGTAGATTTACCCTCATCATAGTAGAAGAGTTTCATGTTGAGGCAGACGTCATCAGGCAGAGGGCCGAGATGTTGCATCAGCATGTAAAGTTTGCGCACCAGCAGCGTACTGGATTTCTGGGTGTTGTCACCGGCCATTTTAGTCAGGCTCTGGCCGCTTTTGCTGAAAACAGATATTCATTTTCACAAGAGGAAACATTAATATGTGGTAGTAAGTAATACTGCTTGAAAATTATATTAGGACAGGTTATGCAAGTAATGTATTTGGGCTGTAATATTTAGTATTTTGGGGTTGTAATCCATCATCTAGTTTTGTTAACTACTCAAAAAAACACGGCACCTCTCAAAATCCATCTGAGGTCCATTCTCTGTGTATGTGACTTTGAACTGGTAACATTCAGTCACTTTCTGCAAAAAAGCAAGACATAAAAATGCACATTCAAAGTCTGAAATACAAAACACAAGGTCGACGTGAAATGACTTAATGAGCATTATATAAAAAAATTAATTAAGTAACACTGTATGGCATTCAATCAAAAAAGAGAGAATGTCTGATCACCTCTGGATTGTCTGGATCACAGTAAATCTAGAAGTAAAAAATAGTCTTTTTTATTTATTAAATTAAATTTTTATTTATTATTATAAGCTATATAAACTATTATACTTCTGCATGCAATATATAGTCTTAAATTGATTACTGTTAGTTTTCAAATCAATTAGTAAATACTCACTGATAGAAGAACCATGCGCAGCTGATAAAGCAACAAAGAGGCAAAAAGGTTACTAACAGTGTTGATGATCAGTCATAGAACTGGTTTAGAAATGTAAAAGAAAACTGCATAACCGTATAAAAGCACAGACTTACGTATCTTCTTTGAAGTGCATCAAAGCACCCCTGCAACCTGAAATAGTGGAGGTAGATAGTCTTCATGTAGTTTTGACCAGATGTTCTCTAAACATATTACAGTTACAAACGAATATATATGTAGTTTAACTTTTAATGTTTAAAAAAAAATTTCTTCATGAAGGGAATGTGAAAACATGAGTGTGTCAACAGTCCACTTACCACTGAACAATCTGCTGAGCACCAGGGCAGCTATGCTCTCGCAGGATCAGGACTTTCAGCTCTATGAAAAAGAAAGGAGAAAAAAACACTAAATGTATGTTACACTAGTAATATAAAATCATAAAGGATTTATGACCTGCTCCACTTTTACCTCCAACATATTTGCGTCCATATGCCTTTTCTGGGAAAAGACCCCTGAGGTAAGTGATGCTTGAGACAGCAATGGCTAGAAGTTTTTTCACAAGTACCAGCGACTGCTGTTCGGTGGACACCACATCCGGCAGCATCTGGCAGTTCTGGAAAAACACATTCAGTAAGCAAGATACTTGCTGTGTCTGAAATCACCCACTACTCACTACATAGTGGACTATATAGTGAGCTCCCCATTTTGTAGTGCTGTCCGAATGTATAGTGATGATTATTATACCCTGGCCTATATAGTCCACTCGATGTATCCCAGAATGCATTTTGAAAAGTAGTGTACAACCGATGGTCACTAACCCAAGCCCTACATACCATCATGCATTGCGCTGATCGTAAAAACAAGTTACTTATAATCATGTGTGGAGTAGCGCATTATAACAGAAACAGCCAAAAATTACTTTTAGTTTTTAAATTTTGGAGAAATAAGCTCAATATAATGTAATGTATTTATTTAAAAAAATGTATTTAGCCCAGGCTCGGCACCAGCTGACAGATGTTTTAATCAACGGCGCCGAGAGACGATCGAGTAGTGTCCGAAAGTGGTGTTTCTATTATGCTGGTGGTGAGCTCACTATACAGTGCTCTCCTCCCTACCCCCATAATGTTTGAGTGAAGATTTCGGACCAGCGACTGTTAGATTTACAACTTATGGACATACTAGCAAAAGCCTAGACAAGTTAATGCTAAATTCGTTAACATTAGTTGGTGGTATTGTGAGAAAACAAATATGTAAGTTACGTTACCTGAACAGGGCGCAAGTTCTGTTCACACGCCATGATGGCTCAATGCAGCAAATTTTCTGTTACTCAAAAACACATAACCGTAAAAAGTTTTTAATTATCTTGCCAAATAAAGTAGGTAATAAAGATGAGTTTCTCGGACAGTTAAATTGTAAAAAAGAAGAAATGTCCTAAAGATAATAGCAGGCCTGTCTTACCTCAACCGACGTTCTAACTGTCAATCACTCTCGCGCGAACGCGCGCCCTCTCCCGCCATAAACTCCAACGACAACGTCATGAAAATAAAAGAAAAGCTGTCGAAACATTATAAGTACTAGGATAACACCACCATGTGAACTCTCTTATGAATTTCTGTCTAATTATGTCTACGTACCTTATAAAAAGCAATCAAATGCTAAGTTATTTAAACAGAAATATAAAATTATGCAAATAAGTATAGCAAAGCATTATTTCTTCATTTGAAAAACAGAAACTCGTACTATGGCTTTATGTAACTTTTTTAAAACTCGCTCTTCTCAAAACTTTAAAAGTATTATTTTAACAAAAATAATCAGAGCATTTTTAAACTATTAAATGTTATGCTTACCTCCGCAGTTGTGCAGGGAAAATACTATAATATTATAATAAATTTAGTGCAGGAGATCATAGCAGATTCAAAGGCATTGGAAATCTAATAAAAAGTCTATACTTAAAATTACCATTTCAAAAATAGTAATTATATGGTCACTCCTAGATAACAATACAGTCACAGGCTTTTTCCACATTGAAACCCTATTGGGAATTTTTTATTAACATCCCAGTAGATTTTAATAAACGTTAACTGTTTCAATTGCCTTCTTTAATCTTTAGTAAGATTAAAGTAAGACATACATCTTTAGTAAGATGTATGAGCTCGCAAAGGCATCGTAGCTTACCATTGGTCACTTGTTTATTTTGATATGACTATTGGAAATCTATTGGCTGGTTCTCCGGTCTCTCAAACATCAAACCAGATTCCTATAGGCTGTTTTCGCTACGTGACCGCCCCCCAAAGTGACGTCGCTGCAGCGAACGCCATTTTGATACTGAACACCGTGGGTGGATCGGATCGGGCACGAAGAGACAGCAACATTTACTCTTCAACACGTTGATTAAGCAGCAAACCCCGAACAGACATGTCATCAGATAACCAGGACACGGAGACGCAGATGGACGAGAATCAGGTGGGGATTAGATTGGGGCTGCATAGATGAGATGAGACGAAGCATTATTTGCAGTCTCTTACGGTGTCTGTCAATTTAATCCACTATAATGTCATTATATATGCCTTAATTCCTTATCATAAAAATGACTTCTTATTGCTCACTGACAGCTTAAACAGACATTCTCTGATTATTTTTTATTTGATTGCTAAGCTGTCACCTGCATGAGTTGAAAAAGGTGATAGTCGAACATTTCGCAAGCATGAGCCTCCTTTTGATTGGTTAGTGAGCTCAGACGTCATGAAAATAACAGCGTTTGATTGGTACATTATGTCGGTTTTCAGTTTTGCTACACCTACTCTAACCTGATGGTGTCAGTTGGGTTGTATGCTATGAACAAAATTAACTGCGGCGCCTAATTTTCATATATTTCCGGAAAAGTCAAGCCATACTATAAAAGCAATTGTAGAAAAAACTGATTCTGATATTTTAATTTCTTTGTTGATGTTCAATTTACTAGTATGTTGCTGTTTATTGATAGTGTTGTTGTGCTAAAATGGCATGCACTGACTATAGATAAGAAAATGAGATTCAGGATCAGGACATAATTACGAGTATCCAGGTGGTGCTGAATATAGCAGCTCATAAATTACTTGTTAAAGATCCCAGTGAATCAGCATATAATGGACCTTATCAGAACCTTCTTCTCCAGGGGCCTGTTCAATAAACAGCTGTTATGTTAAAGGGATACTTCACTTTTTTTGGAAATAGGCTCATTTTACAACTCCCTCAGAGTTAAACAGTTGAGTTTTACCATTTTCAAATCCATTCAGCCGATTTTCTGATATTTAGAAGCATATCAGTAACCGGACAGTTTCTGGTTCCATAGTGTATATTTTTTCCTGCTATGGAAGTCAATGAGACCAGAAACTGTCTGGTTACTGATATGCTTCTAAATATCAGTAAAAACTCAACTGTTTAACTCCGAGGGAGTTGTAAAATGAGCCTATTTCCAAAAAAAAAGTGGAGTATACCTTTAAGGCTCTGTCTTAAGACCTAGAATGGCCAACTAATAGTTAGCCAAGGGGCAACAGGGCTTACCTTCCTGTATCAAATTAGACCAATCTATGTTTTTAAGTAACTGACTCAAAAGTTATGAACAGTCTTAAATAAAGAAAGTCTAGCATGTAAGATTTGTCGCTTTATGGTAAACTGAATTTTAAACCCCTTTGATGAAAACCATTGGGGGAAAATGAAATGCCATTTCCTGGGTCCTTGTATAGTGGAATAAACTTATACAGGATTCTGACTTTGTGTTTTCAAATTCTGTTTTATGTAGACTCACAGAGACTCAAAGGGTGTAGCATGTAGAACATATACTTAGTCCTCCTGAGGACTTACAAACCTGTTTTTCTACAATCTGCCTTTATGCTACAATTGAATGCAAATGTGTCTTTTAGCCAGCGTTATATGCAAGAGTTGCCCCTATTGTATTGACTCACTGTCTAGTTATTTGCAAAATCGTCTTAATCTCAAGTCATGCATTCATAATGGAAGCATGCTTAAATACTGCAGTTTATATCATTATGTGTTTTGTTCTTTACAATTATCCAAGCCTCAGTCTAAACACACCACCACATGATTCCTCAGCTTAGGGCGAAGCAGAGGATGATTCAACATGCAAGCACACCAATAAGAGGGAAAATATATGTTGGTTCTCAAATATTTATCTTTCTGTAACCTACAGTGTCTTTGTACATTTTGCTGTACTATACAATTTACAGATTTAGCTGTTTTACTGATCAAAACAAACCCTTTTTAAACCAAACCAAAACAGAAACGTGAAGATGTTTACAAACCGCCTTGACTCGGATGTTGAATACTTTCATTTATGACAGAATTTCCAAGTCTTTGTTTATTTTAGCTTGCATTCAAATTGAAACCAAAATTCAATTAACATAGCTTTTTTTTTTTTTAAGGATGTTTCGATACGCCACTAAGTAGGTGGATTAATAGTGAATTGAGAGAGTTGTTATTTAACAACTGGTAATTTGATGGCAAACTAAACAGGCTTGTTGTACCTTGCCCTGAAATGTTTAAAGGGCCACACCTTTAGGGATTTACAGGAAAAATGATATGATGAAAGGGGTTTTGTTTTTATTGTTTTGCTTTTATATTGCTATTATATTGTGAGATTGATATTTATTACTTTGAGTTTTTAGTGTTAATTATTAGTTTGTTCTCTCTTTCATCTCCAGTGTTCAATAAAGATTGTGTTTACATGTATTCATTTCTGTTTTGAAATGAGTTAATCAATAGTAAACACTTTTTACATTATTACAAAAAATACATTTTATACACTGGAGCAATGATGCTGACAAATTCAGCTTTGCCATCTATCACAGGAATATATTACATTTTAAAATGTTTTAAAATAGAAAACGGTTATTTTAAATTGCAATAATATTTCACTATAATACTGTCTACTCTATTTTTGATTAAATAAATGCAGCCCGGTTGAGCATTAGAGCCTTCTTTCAAAAACATGAACATTTTTTACTAACCTCATTGAATGGCTGTGTACTGTACATATAAGATTTTTTTTCTATGAAAACGTTTAAACTGATGTCTAATAACTACAGATGGCAATAAATGTTTTTCAGGAATCTCAGGACACAAACTCAAACCCAGTGCGGAAAGAGGACAATTTGAAAGTGAAGTATCCCCATTTGGGTCAAAAGCCAGGTGGCTCTGACTTCCTGATGAAGAGACTGCAGAAAGGAGTATGTTTAAAGACTTTTTTACTTCAATTGTTCAAGTAATAAAACACATTTTATACACAAGGCATATTCGTACAGTTCCTTCCAGGTGCTTGCAACATAACCAAAACAAACAATGCCCTTCATGTACCCTTAATGTAACTTCTAAATTGTGCATTTTTTTTTTTGTCTCCAGCAAAAGTATTTTGACTCAGGAGATTACAACATGGCAAAGGCAAAGATGAAGAACAAACAGTTGCCTGCCGCAGCCGGTCCAGACAAGAACATCGTTACCGGGGATCACATTCCAACCCCACAAGACCTTCCGCAGAGAAAGTCCTCATTGGTTACAAGTAAACTTGCTGGCTAACATCACCCGGAGGTTTTGAATAAATCCTCTTAGCAAACTTCCAAAACCTCCCCAGCCCCACCAGACCAGCTTCATCAGGACTGGTTATCAATTTATTTTGTTTCATTTGTTTTCATTTGGGTGTTGAGTTTTGCTGTCACTTTCGTGTAACTTCAGTAGGTCTAACCAACCCAGCTCTGTTACCCTCTTCAGTGTCCCACATATGGTAGGGAAAAACTAAACCCTCTGTATTCCAGACCCCAGTTGAGCATGATGCACTTTAATCCGTGTACCCTGTACATCAGTCATATTATGAACAAAACCCTGAAGACTTCACACATCAAAATGATGTTTGATGCTTTTAAAAGTGTCCGATAATTTGAAAATGATTTAAGATTGTTTTAAAAGGCATTATTTTACATAGATGATACTTAGATAATACTTGACTAATAATTAGATAATACTTGACAGCCATTGGCCCCAGATGTACATTGGCAGCCCTCTAATCATTCGCAATGACAAAAGAATGAATGTTTTATGAGAATTTCTTTGAGAAAGTCAGTGAACAAGTGGTTAGAGCAAAAGTTTTAAAGAGTGGCTGGTAGGGTGTGTAGCCTTCATCACCTCTTCTACCTCTCGCTCTCTAAGAATGGCTCAGTTTAACCAAATAACAGCTGCTTATGACTGAATGGTCTTACTATTCTCAGCCTTACCTTCCATGGTAGGATCTGAGCAAGCGGTTCCAATCGGGCTGATTAGATTATTGTAATCATAGCTTTTGGGTGCAAACAGAGAATGTTGTAATTCACTGATAGTAGCCAAGAGCAGAAACGGTCTTTGTATGTGGCATGATAAGGAAAGGGGCTTAAGAAAATTGTTGTCATAGCATATGTTATGCTTCAAACTTTTTGGTATGTTTATAATAAGTAGTGGCTATTTGTGTTAATTAAATCTCACTGGCATCGGGAGTCAATCTGCTTTCATGTACACTATCAGCAGCGTGTTTATTAATGGGATTATTTTGTTATATCCAACACGTATATAGTATGATGCACATGACCCTTTTGATCATCAGAGATGCAATCATCTTGTCCGTCTTAACAATGTGAGTCTATTTGGTCCTAAATATCTATATTTGAAGGATTGAGGTGTAGATGGAAATTTTCAGAATGGAGCATCACCATTGGTTCAATATTTGTAAAATATGTCAGATTTAAATAGTAAAATGCTCTATTTAAACTTGGACACAGTAACATGTTTAAACAAAAGAATTGGAAAATATTAGGCCTACCCATATTGCTTTGACATGCAGCTTATTATTGTGGTTTCAAACCAACAAATGACTGACTATCATATCCTATGACTCATTTTTGTTTGTATTATCTGTGGTTTTTAAAGAGATACCTTTTCTCATCATTTAGCGAAGTGTTCTTCTCCAGAAGGCATGAGTCGATAAACCTCTGTAGTTTCTTCAAAGTTTGTAAATCATTTGGAAACTTTGTAGTGGATCTTAACTGCTCATTTATTCCAGGTTATAACTTATAAGTCATTGTGCACTCTTAATAGAGTCCTAGTATGAATATAGATACCCTTTCAGGGAAATCTAGACTCGACCTAGGCAGTTTTACAGTCCAGGTGTCTAATTCAGGATTTGTCTAATCAAGTTGCCCCTTCTAAAACCATACCTGCCTACACGTGGCCTGAAGACTTCAAAGAAAATGTGTTTAGCCATATGAAGCTAACAATAAAACATGTATATTAATGCATGTTATTCTTGGTACACACACACACCATATATATATATATATATATATATATATATTGTACCGTCACTATGTAAATTTCACAAATGGTGAATTACATTTAAGGGATTGAATGTGTTTTTTTTTTTTTCCATATATGGTTGAGGTGCTGGTGGCAGTTGGCAATACATCAGGGAAATATGATGGTCTTGCACTTAGTATTTGTCACTCAGTGGTATGTGTGGATGTACAATGTTTCCTTTGAGGAATGCATTATTGCACAATGCTAGGAGATAATCTTATTTTGTGCTGCAGCCAAATTGTAAATAGTCAAACTGTGCATCTGGTGTCATATTTGTGCAATTTGTTAATATCATGTGTCTGAATCTCTGCTTTTTAATGCAACATGACAGGAATATCATCCAACTAGTGTGAGACATGTAAATATGGGGATTAAGGATTCTTGCATTGTAATTAAAGGAATCTTCGTAATTGAATGGATTAGATTCAGACAGGTCTGAACTGAAAACCTTCCACTACTACAATGTGATGTTCATGTAACATTAACTGTAAGCATTTAAGACATCAATTTAAGGCTTTCTCGCTATATAAAAATATATTCATGATTTGCATACTATGAAGCATTTGATGTTTAATTATTTCTATGTTTCATCCCCATATGCATTATTATTTCAGATGTTTTGCTTTAATTAAGTTGTGTTTGATAATGGATTTCCAGAGTCATCAGGTTCCTTATTATATTTACACAGAATGGTGGCTAATAATGAAGCAAAGATAGATGTTTAAATCAATATTGGAGCTGCCTGAACTTCAAATAAAGTTTTACATTAATAGCAAAAACAATGAGTGGTACTTTTTTTCTAACGAAAGGTTTAAAACGTCCACGTGTTGACTTTTATTTAACATAAAACTTAAAGTAAAATCGAATAAATGATCACGGGCTACAGACATCTTTTTTAAGGTCGTGTGAAGGTAACAAATTGTCAATTTCTAAAAGCATTTACGGCAATTCTTGTTTGCTGTGAAAAGAAAGGGCATTGCAAAACTGATGTAATCAAGGAACAGTTTACACAAGTGTGACACTCAGAATCATGAATCATTCACACTTTTTGTGTGTGCAAAATATGTGATGAACATTCTCTGATTAGTTTCCAGTGTATCGATTTTAATCTCGTTTGTAAAATGCAAAATGGAGCTCTCTGAAAAATACACCCTGGACCGTGAGGAATCTGAACATTTTTAGCTACTTACGTGTATTTGGGTGTCCTACACGTTGTAAATTCTAGCAAATTCCCCAAATTCTGTTGTAGCCTACAACTACTCCACTAGGGGGAGCGCCGCTCATTGAAAAGCTGAAATGGGCGGATCTAAGAAAGAACAACAGGGACATTTTTTCAAACCCACACATCTTGTTTTCATAAACATCTCTGGTCGTTCATTTACAGAATGGTCGTTATAATCCTACCACACTCCTAACGGCGAAACATTTTGATACGACATGAAATTATTTTAAATATCGTTCCTGAGAATGTAAATATTCTCAATGTTATATGAGGGGGTGAGACACGAACGTGAGACGGGTTTTACGTGCAGGACGTTTTGGATGTGTTTCGAAACGAAAGCGCAGTTCGGTACGTGTGTCGTCGGTGATTAAAGCCCCGCCCTTTCAGACATGAGTATGGTATAAATTCACAACAGAAATTTCTAGTTCCGCGCTTCCGCCTTGCACATGTACAATGTAGGTTAGTTTTCGGTTTAAATTGAAATCTAGAAAGACGACGTTTCCTCTTAAATGCATCGTCGATTTACTGGATTAAACCATTGATGTAAAGTTGCAAACATGTTACCTGGGAGTAAAGTTTCTTGGCCATGCTTGGGAATAACAGCTCTTAACGTCAACAGTGGGTTTAGTGACAAGCGACTGGTAATGCCAGAGCTGAAAGCTCAGAACCAGTTTACAGAGAACGGTCTCCAAGGCTCGGTCCCATCATCGCCTGGGTCGGATTGCGAGGAAATAGATGATTACACGTCCCTTGAAATGGAAACAAGAGAAACTATTGACATTTTCTTAAAAAACTTTACAGGACTCCCTCATTCTAAAATTGGAAAAAAACAAGTTTTGTCAACGATGAAGCGGGTTGTGGAAACTCTCATGGTAAAGCACGAAATCGCTTACAAAGGTAACTTCTCACTTTATTTTAGCATGTAGTTTTCCACTGTTCCCCTTTCGCTTCGTTCATAATGCTTGTTGATGATAAGAACAGGTTAAATATTGTTAAAGAGCCTCACCCTCTAACACGCACCTGGCCTGGCAGGTTGCTCCACTTTATGCCACGTATTTTCACATTTATGATTCCGCAGTGATCTGATCTCTAATATTTATCTCTCTTAGGTATGATTGCACGTTTGAATCTGGAGCAGAATGGGGAAGATATGAGTTTCATTACGATTGTGGCAACGGAAATTTTCAGCGATGGCATCACAAACTGGGGCCGTATTGCAAGCTTTCTGACATTTGGGGCAATTGTGTGCAAATATCAGAATGACAGAGGACTTGGCAAGTGTGTGAGTCTGGTGGCGGATAACATCGCTTCCTATCTTCTCACAGCCCAGCGGGACTGGCTGCTCAAAAACAAAGCATGGGTGAGTTTTAATTCCACCCTTCACAGGACCGCATACGTGCTTGTTTTCTTTATTTGTAACCTATAATCACCTTGTGTATGTGTATTCTTTTCCTTAGGATGGCTTTGTGGATTTTTTTCATGTCCCGGATACAGAGGCAGCTGTGAGAAACACACTGGTGGCCATTGGTAGTGTGGCTACATTTGGAGCTGCACTTGCTTATTTGATACGATGAATCGATTCCATATGGACTTTTTGACATCTGTTGAAACAAGAACTCTATAATATATTTTTTGAGAGCGAACGAAAACAGTTTCAATGCACGTTTCCCCCCCCTCCCCCATGTTTTCATTCATCCTGTTTATAAAAGCTATTCCAACTTCTCTTAAAATCTAAACTATTTTTTTATTAAAAATAAAAATGTAAAATAATTTTCAGTGGTCAGATCTGAATTGTAGGTTATACTATCAATGATGGATGATTTTCTATGTGGATTCATATTTGAAATGATCACTTCCAAGCAGTGTTCTCTGTACAGACATGATTTTCATAAACTTGGCTGAATTGCGACAAAAGCTCCTTTTGTTGCAATTGCTGTATAGTTTTGTGTAATAAGCCTAGCCATTTTAATACGTCACCTTCACATTTTTATGGTTTCACTTCCTGTTTCAGAAATATTCTTTTGCAATATAACACACATATATAATGTCAGGTGCTGGCTATAGCTGATTTAATAAGCTTTAAAGCTTTTGTCTAAAAGCTCATAGTTCTGTTTTGAGTCCTATGACAGTAGTTAAAGCGATAGTTCACCCCAATATTTAAATTCTGTTATTTACTCTCCAAGTTGTTTCAAACCTATATGAATTTTTTCTTCTGCTGAAAGCAAAATAATATATTTTGAAGAATGTGAGTAACCAATATGATAGTTGATGGGTCCCATTAATTTCCATAGTATGGAAATAAAATTACAGTGGAAGTCAATGGGGCAGTTTGGTTAGTGCTGTGTTCAGCAGAAGACATTCATATAGGTTTAGAACAACTTGAACTCACAAGGCTGCTAATTGTTTTCTTCACTTGCTGGTTAACCTACACTGAACTGTTTAGAGAAGTTTGAGAACATGTTATGATCATTAAACTTTTTCTGTGAACACTGTTCTCTAAACAGCAAATTAAAACCAAAAAGCTGATACCTGTATTTTCTTTTCTTAGGTGATTGAATTGAAACCTTAACTAGTACAAATAATTTATTAAACACTTATGGCAAGGTCATAACTTAATAAGTATATGTGTTTTATCTGGCCCATTATTATTAGCTTCAAAGATTTTCTAGCTTTTCTTCTTTACATTTTATTGCAGCAGAGTTGTGTAACTTGCTAAAGACTTTACATTTCCTGTGTACTCTTTCATTTCAGCCTGAAATGGTTTAGGAGGTTAGTCAGAGTGAAACTCACTGGTACAATGAAACTCATTGATGAATACCATTCATACATGTATCTTATTTCAAAGAGTTCATTGTGTTCCTTAGTCACCTTGTTGAATCACTACTCAGGGGACCCAAGGATATTAATACTTCATTATACATACAAACCCCTCGCCATCCTTATGGCTGTCATCACGAGTCACTACTGTGACTACTGTAACCAAACCTCTCAGCCAATGTGAATGACTAACTGTAATCTGGTTTTGTCTCAAATTGAATTTAAATTTTTGAACCATAGTCTGACTGAGATTATACTTCGAAATATACATTAGCACAAATTCCTTTTGCTTTTTAACTGTTTAAGGTGTTAAAATTATGACTCTGTATTCGTCATCTTGTTTGCTTTTGCCCAAAGGCACTGGATTTAGCTAGTTTAGCTTGCTTTTTTAATGTGGAAGTAATGTTTGTTTGACTGTCAAACAGTAGAACCGTGTGATTTACTTAACTGGCTTTACACTTCCGTATCCATGAGTCATTTTTTTTTAATGCTGAATGGCCATGGTTTTAAAATCACATGGGGTAAAAACTTTTCTGGATCAAATCTCTGTGAATGAAATCAGATGTTAGTGGTATATCCACTTCCTTAATGAATGACTGACAAAAAGGGCACAGGAAATGTTTCCATAGCGAAATGGAAATCTTAATATTTTTGCATGTGTGTGTCATATATTAGTGATAAGGAAAGGTTAGTTGGAAAAGTCATTAAACCCAAGCAAGGCAATGAGGATCCAATGAGAGGGAAGATGTTATTATGTCTAACATCTGCCAGAGAACATGCTTGGTTTGTATTTCTACAGCAGGGGTGTCCAATCCTGCTTCTACAGGGCCACCATTCTGCAGAGTTTAGCTCTAACACACCTTCCTGGAAGTGTTTAGTGATCTGGAAAACCTAATAAACGGAAATATATGAATGCCTTAAAGCGGTATCATCCAAAACTGAAAATTGTATATGTCATGTTGCTCCTTGAAAGCGGAATAATGTGAAGACGTAAAAGACTGTAAAATAATTAATTTTTGATGCCAATGAAAGGCAATGGGGTCCAAATCAACTTGGACCCTATTGAGATTCATGAAAAAAAAAAAAACGATAATTTTTTTTCACAGAAGAATGATAGTCAAACCGGTTATTGACATGACAGAATTAGGACTATCCCTTTAACTCAAATAACCAGGAATTTCCTTATCAACGAACATTTTTTTCAAGATCTATGATGGGCCTATCCACTTGCAGGATGTAAAACAATTGTCTACTTAAAAAGTCTTTAACCAATTTAAGAAAGAATTCCCTGACAAGAACACCTGTCCTAAAATCTTTTAGACCTTCATTAGGAAGTCTATAGTTGTTTTTTTCTGGCTAAGCTAAACAATATTTGTGTGAGTGTGCTTATTTGCTCAGATTGGCTTCGTATCTGGTTACAGGCCACCCGTGGAGTCTAATGAGGACTATGGTAATGACACACACAGGGCCTCACCTGATCCTCCAGTTCACCTGCTGTGGTTACGTGAGCCAGGAGGCACATGGCTGTTAAACTCTGTGGAATACAGGTAAAGCCATGTGACAACACATGTACTAATCAGTAGTCTTGTGCTATGGTAGTCCTGGAATTGTATTTTTTTTTTAAGTATAACAAAACAGACATCTTTAATGAGGGGTTAAAAGCCACTCATTTTCGATAGATGTATTTTTGCTTGGCCAGTGTTGGTTCTTTAAAATAACTGAAATTCATTGACAAAGTGATTTCAAACTGTAATATGGTCAAGAGTGAAACTACTTAATAGCCGTGCTGTTATTTGAAAAATATTAGAACGCCCGTCAGCCAATCAGTATCAAACAAGAATGCTGAGTTATACAATAGACGACTTGGTGTGGACAAAAACCCAGTGGAACACACAGTAATAATGCAAAGAATAATGTTCAGATAAATATTGAGTGTCAAAAACAATCTGCATATCCTAACTGCATTTAATAGTAGAAACTGCTTTGTTAGATGTCTATGTGAATGTGGAACAATAGGAGGAGGAGCATGCATTATTGTCTAAAGCATGGGTTTTCAAGCAGGGATCATGGAATACTAAGAAGTCCGTGGAAAAGTTTAGAGAAAAGCAGTGTAAAAAATATTTAAATAAATAAATCATAAAAAGATTAAACTAATTAAGTGGATAAACAAATAAAATTGATTAAAATTCAAAGAATATAGATGAATAAAAGAATAAATAAAAACATTTGATTAAAGTAAATAACATTTGTAAAATATATACAATAAAATTGATTTAAATTATACAAATAATAGGACAATAGAAAAATGCATTGTAACACAATAAACACATTTATATACATTTTTCCACAGTATTAATTGAGTCTTTATACTTATAAATATTTCAATCATGAAAACTCTCTGAAGATTTTTGCATGGTAATAATGGTTATGACAATGTTTGTGTACTTGACATCTGGCTGAATTGCTGCTGCTGTTGATTATTGCTGTTGTTGTAGATTATTTCAGCTTTTGTTGATTATTGCTGTTGTAGATTATTGCTGCTGCTGTTGATTATTGCTGATGTTGTAAATTATTTCGGCTGCTGTTGATCATTGCTGTTGTTGTATTATTGCTGCTGTTGATTATTATTGCTGCCGCAGAGCAATTGTGATTGTGATTATGTTAGACACACTGCTGCTGCACAAATAGCATATTTATACATAAATTACCCATAGCAGATCTATTCAGGTGGAGCTTGGGAAGGTGGATGTTTTGGAGGAACTCTGAAATGCAAACCAGCCATTTTAACATTGTGAGCAGCAAGCTCATTGGCTTGCAGATGTGACATGAACCAATGAACCAATCAGTTTGTGTCAAGTAGTAAATGCAGTAAATATCATCATGAGTCTCTTTAATGGAGTAGTTAGCTTTATAATGAAAATGACCCCATGATTTACTTACCTACCCTCAAGCCATCATATATAGGTGTATATGACTTCTTTCAGATGAATACAATCAGAGTTATATTTATAACTTGACTCTTCCAAGCTTCATGATGGCAGTGAATTGCAACCAACAGTATGAAGCTCAAAAAAGTGCATCCATCCAACAAACTCCACATGGCTCCGGGGGTTTTTGCCTTCTGAAGCAAAACGATGACTTTGTGTAAGAAAAATATGAATATTTAAAACTTTATAAAGTAAAATAACTAGCTTCCAGTCCGACTTATTCGACTTAAGTGTAAAGTGCAACCTATTCGAGTAAATGCGATGTACTGCTGATATTTACGCTAAAGCATGACGCACTATACTACTTCTGATGTCATAAATTAGCGTAAGGCTTTTATTAATCCCCTGGAACCAGGTGGAGTTTATTTATAATGGATGGATATAGATGCTCTTTTTTGAGCATCAACCTGAAAGTTGAGATGGTTTCTCGAAATCCATTGCCATTATAAACCATCATGGTGTTTGTTAATATAACTCAGATTGTATTCGTCTGAAAACAGAAAGTTGTATACACCTAGGATGGCTTGAGGGTGAGTAAATCATGGGGTAATTTTCATTTTGAAGTGTTCCCTGTTCCAGCTGATCTAAACTATGCAGCCTAACATTGAATTAGAAGACTGTGTTATGCTAGGACAAAGAAATGTGTTTTTAGTCTAGATTTGAACTGACAGACTGTGTCTGCTTCCCGGACAATGTTAGGAAGATTGTTCCAAGGTTTTGGTGCTGAAAAGGATCTACCGCCAGCAGTCGATTTTGGTATTATCAGCTGGCCGGAATTTTGAGATCGAAATAGACGTAAAGGACTATAATGTGTTAAGAGCTCGCTCAATACTGGGGAGCTAAACCATTTAGTGCTTTGTAATCAGCAATTTTTAAAAATGTATACAATGTTTAATAGGTAGCCAATGCAGTGTTAAACATCTAAATATCTAGATGGGATCCCTTGCATGAGGATGATCATAAATGCTGGTTCGTGGCATTCAAAAACTCTAAAAGCCATTGTATAAATTAAGCAGGCAGAAAATACCTATAGTAGCACTTAATGGAAAACATTTGGGTGTATAAATAAAAGTTATTTTATCTTAAGCAATTATTGTATAATCTTTATTGTCATCTTTGATTCATATTGTAGTTTGAAATCTAATTACTGTAAATTATTTTTTTTTCTATGTTTATTGTGTGAAGCATGTTTCCTCAAGAACACTTATTTCAGTCATTAAATATCATGCATCTTCAAAACTTTGGCAATAAATCACATGTTGTACAGGGAAGCAGTGGCCCTGCTTGATAATTTACCCTGCTGTTTAACTTTATCAAGGTTTCCTTTTTTTTTTTTTTTTTTTTTTTTTGTATCAAGTTCCCAATGTAGCTTTCATGGTAATCTTGGTAAAAGAACAATTCTGCTAGTCATGGTTGTTGCTGATTCATCAGGTCTCTGACCTTTCCCCTAAAACACGTCACTTCCACAATCTATCATAAAAGATAACTGAAAAATCAAAAAGTGTGTGCCAACCTCTGACCCCTCAGGTGACTATTTTTAATGCGTAATAAATGTATTTAATAAATATTTCAAATAATTCATCTTCAGGATAAATGGTTAAACAATTCCCAGTGTAGTCTATATTAGGTAACATGGAAAAAAGATTGTCCTGACTCACTTTTGCCTTTGAGTCGCCTGACTTGCATCTTGCAATTAGTGCTTCATACACAAACAAAGAAGCAAAGATTCACAAGTCACATGTAGAAGGCTGCCGACTAGCATTCATCATGTAAATAAAATCTCCTTATCTGATCTGATCTTATTCCGGCCCTCTCACGTTTTTCCTCTTTATGGAGGCTTCCGTCCTGGATCATTAATTCCAAGCACATGTAAATGCATAATTCAAAAGATCTTACTCTGTTTGGGAGGGCTTATAGCAAAGATGGTACAATATAGTGATTCCATTTGAGAAGAAACTGATTTTGAACATATGGAACTGTTGCATTTTGCACTTTGTGGTAATGCTGTTGTAATGCAACTTTTAAATAAGCTATCTGTGGTCTTCATGTGTTAGTATTGAGAACTCCTGATAGTGGTTAAAACAACTGTTTACATAGAACAGTAGTGAGAAATACTGAGAGTGAGTGTCAGGTATTGCCATCATGGAAGGCCACTTCTTGGATTCAGACACCAGTATGTTTGTGTAGAGATTTTACTCTAGTCACCATGTTTACAGTCATGGGGATTTATTCAATGGCGTGTGGTCAACAGGTCCAGACTAGTTTTAAGTGGCAATGTGGTCTGTTTTGATGTTTAGACTTTGTTGAACAAAGGCCAGAGGGTAATTGACCTATGACACACATTCATTGTCAAAATTATTTAATGGTTCCAACTATATATGACACTGACTGGTGTTGTGAAAACATTGTGGTCCAAAATGTTGTGCAATCGGTATGATTTTTTTTTTTTAAAACATAGAAATTCCTGCGGTATGACAGTTACATGACTCAAGTCCAGCTGTTTTATACCAGTTGTATGTCTCAATTCCAGCTGTATGACACCAGTTGTATGTCTCGAGTCATGCTGAATTTTGTATACCATCAGGTTTGAGAAAAAGTCACATATATAGAGCACATTAGCAAAGCAATTATGAAAAAAGGAGTTCAAATACTTTTGTTGTTATACCATAAGTGTGATTTCTGCAGTCTATGAATTAATAGTTTTTCTATAAAAAATCACCATATCACTGTAAAAAAAAATTCAAGATTTGTTATCACGGCATTTTTTCTTTTGTCAAATCAACTTAAATAATTTATTTGGTTGAGATAACTTATTATTTTGAGTTTCTGATGATTAATTTAATCTCCTTCATTGTATTAACTCACTTTTCTCAGTTCAATCAACTTAAAATTTTAAGGCTACCAGGTTACTTACTTTTTTAAGTTAAACCAACAATATTTTTTTACAGTGATGCTACAATGTCCTTATAATATGCCGCTTCATCATTCCATAGTCTGTATATTTTGTACGAGTCTGCTTTTATCCATTTTTAATATTCTGTATAAGCTCACGTTTTCTAGTTTTTTTTTCTTAAAACAATAGTATAGTGTCCAGTCCCTTTTTCTTATAGCTTTTATGTTACATTTCAGTTCCTACAATGATCTTAGGTAAATTCCTTCACCCAAGTAGAAATGGACTACGTTACTTTCACTTTTTTTTATTCTGGTAAGGGATTATTAACTTCTTGGTACTTTTGCCACTAAACAAACAAACTGAATCAGACCTGCAAATGCAAAAGAAAGTTTACAAAGGATTGTATTAGTAAGTTTAAACAGGTTTCTTTTTGAGAGTATAATTTTTATTTATTTTGTTCTCCTACACAAGAATATTCAAAGAAATAAAAAAGATGAATTGCAGATTAAGATAGGCCTATAGAGCAGATTGCTTCAATACGATTGACCAAACGATAAAAAAGATGATTGAATGCCCTACAACAGAAATAGACGTCATAGAGATGTGACGTTTAAGAATGGTCCATTGACTGAACACACTCTGAATGTGGCTTGTACTTTGATCTGTC